CTTTAAAAATTTAATCTAGCCGTCCTAATCAACCGATTTCAATTTTTTTCAGAAACTATTTCAAAGACTGAGCGGTCTTGTCTATGTGTAAAAATTTTCAAGTATCTAGATGCTTTATTTGAGGCTGCGCAACGTTTTGAAAATTCGAAAATTTTTTTTTTTTTCAAAAAATTATTTAACGAAAACTATAGAACCGGTTTTTTATGAAATTGTTGTTTTATTATACTCTAAAGTTTTTTTTACCAAAATTAAAATGCCCTCGGAGCAATTAAAATATTTAAAAAGAATTATCCAAAAAACTTGCTTATTTTGCCTGTTTTTCATCAATTATTGCCATTTTGCAACATCGGTAATAAATTTAAACATTTTTAACGTACAGTGTATTGTACAAAATTCAATTGTAAAACTTTTTTTCCTCTTCAATATTCTTCCAAAATACATAGGTTCCAAGATATAAGTAAAAAACTCAGATCAAAAAGGTATTTTTTTTAAATTTTTGCAATTTTGAAAATTTTCCGGACCTCGCCCAGATCTAGAGATCTACACTTTTATTATGTGAGTTGTACTGAAGGTATTCCAGCAAAAGTTAGCTTGCCCCCTCTTACATCCAAGAAGTGTTAGAATGCTTTTTTTTATTTAAAAATAGTATGTTTTCTCCATTCTGTTTCCTTCTGGTCTTTAATTGGATGAAAACTTGAACAATATATTTTCTAATAAATAAATTAATGAGAGGAATTACTTGTGATAGTTTATTGGTACGTTGCTATCACATCCTGTATAAAATATGTTGCAAATCCTTTAAAATATCAAAAACTCCTGAAGCTTATTTCTGCGAAAGTCATGATAAAAGATGAAATTCCAGAAACAAAGAAAGAAATAGAAGGATAGTCAAAGGAAGATCAACTATTTCCAATGTATAGAGGGTTATATTTGAAATAAGGAATGACCTAATTGATTTTACTACTCTTTCCAGAATTTATAGGTAAGCATCCTTTTTTTCTGAAGAATCCAATATTTCTCGCTGTATCTCCTTACAAAACCTTTACGTTTCTGCATATTTTTTTAAGCAATTTGTATTCAAATCAATATCGACCATTCCGCGTCCTGTTAGATAAGCAGGCCGTGCCACCCGACCAATTTTATGTAATCGCCCGTCGACCAGGTTGATCACATCACAAGTCCATCGCAATTTTACTTTCCTGATGTGTGTATATCGCTGATAGCGAGGGGATGGTACAAAATGGCGTCCCCGGGGATTCGGCACAGACAAGGGGAAGAAAGCCTCCTTGCCGATAGATAGATAGAAGGATATATCGCGATGCAGCAATGGCATTGCCGCCGGATCCTATACCAGGTCGGGCGATGCTGCTCTGGTCATGCGATATCATGTTTCGGCGCCGTTTCGTGCCGGAATCTATCCAATAAAGACTCCGGAATAAAGTGCGCCGGCAATGGCGGTGTGTCGTGTAATCAGGGTATTGTTCCGTCAATTCGATTTTTTTCTTCGGAAATAAGAACGTTCAGTGGTAATATGGGAAAAAAGTATATTGTAAAAAAGGTAAGTTACCTGTTTTTTATACAGGGTGAATCAGGTGAAAAGCACCAAACTCATGGAAGGCATTCTACATGTCAAAATAATAAGAAAAAACTCAAATGTTGTTATTCGATTTTCATTTGTTTCATTACAATACAAAAATTTAATCTTTTGGTATCACCGGCCAACAAAAAAAAAAGTTTTGTGAACTATACATGCGACATATGTTTTCCTGTCTATTTTGCTCCATCGCCCTTCAGTTTTGTCTAAATCGCTGAATACCTTCAAAAAATCGCTAAAAATCTTCAGTAAAATGGAGAAATTTAGGAAGTGACGAGATCTTGACATGCGACACATGTTTTTCGACGTAATTTCCCATCCTGAATCCGATTCCGATATCAGAATTACTCCACAACCGTCTAGTCTTCAAAAAATTCGCTGAAGATCTACAGAAAAAAGGCGTATTTTGAGAAGTGACGAGATCTTGACATGCGGCATATGGTTTCCCGTGTATTTTTGTCTCCTGAACACGAATCCATAGTTTGTTTTGTCTCATCACCCTTCAGTTTTCCGTAAATCGCTGAATACCTTCAGAAAATCGCTAAAAATCTTCAGTACAATGGAGAAATTTAGGAAATGACGAGATCTTAACATGTGACACATATTTTTCGACGTAATTTTACCTCCTGGAACTGAATCCGTTGTCAGAATTACTCCATAAACCTCTGGTCTTCAAAACATGGCTGAAGATCTTCAGAAAAGGGGCGAAATTTGAGAAGTGACGAGATCTTCATATGTTTTTGAAGACTAGACGATGATGGAGCAAATCTGACATTGGATTCGGATTTAGAAGGTAACAATACGTACGAAAACATAATATGCCGCATGTCAAGATCTCGTCAATTCTCAAAATTCACCGTTTTTGTGAAGATTTTCAGCGATTTTTTGAAGACTAGACGGTTATGGAGTAATTCTGACATCGGAATCGTCACTTCCTAAATTTCTCCATTTTACTGAAGATTTTTAGCGATTGTAACAAAAGCCGGGACGCGCAGTCATTTATTCTTAGTTCTCGGAAAGTAAGATATTTCAGTCATCATAAATTATCGGAGGGTTAATGGTTTTCAAGTAGTAGGTCGCCAAGACAGTCCTTCGGAGAAAATTACCAATATTTTAACAAGTTCACTTAGACTGTCGAGGCCATGTGTTAAGCGTCTGGGAGGCGCCGCGTAGAACCCCATCTTTTTAATAACGCGCGAAACCACAAAAAGAGCGTAGAAATTCCACCTTAGAATTAAATTATATTGTAAAATTGATAGTAATTCGAAAATAAAGTATACCTAAGCAGCTGGGTTTTTTTGACGGATTTTTCCTAGCTATAAGGAGTCAGAGGGGAAGGCTAGGGTTACTAGTAAGTCATATAATTATTGTTATAAATGTAAATTCAGTCAATTAGATAAATATACAAGCGTCCCGATATTCAGGTTCTCGCCAATAAGATGAGAACCGAAACTTCTGGACCCAAGAAATGGGCGTGGTCAAAGCGAATTGAGGAATTCAGGAAGGATCCCGAAAAAGTCAGTTCGTTCTTAAGTTTCACATTGAGCAGACTAATTATTAACTTTAAAGTCTCGGGCTAATTAATTAATTTTGATAGTTTTTCTAAATTTTGTATAGAGCGCGCATTCCCTGAATCTCGGTACGCTGTTGTGATTGAATCAATTAATTAATAATGTCGTCGAGCCGTTGTGTTTTTATTTTGTTTGTTTGTTTTGTTTATTGTTAATAAAACCCTTCCTGGAAGTTTTGTGTTTCCTTTTGTTTTCCAACTTCATTACTACCCTGTATAGCCAGCCACTGGATTACATCCCACGTAAGCAATTATAGGGTAAGTGCTTGGAAGTAATTTTCTGAACATACAACATTTCTAAGTTCCCACGTCTTAATTAAAGTATAACGATAACTAAATAAACTCCTTTCGAGAATTGCATAGTAACTCTTTCGAGCATTAAATAGATAATTAATTAAAGGTAGATAATTAAAAAAATAACCCCTCAGGTTACACGATTTTCTGAAGGTATTCAGCGATTTACGGAAAACTGAAGGGTGATGGAGCAAAACAGTGCTCAGGAGACAAAAATACACAGGAAATCAGATGCCGCATGTAAAGATCACATAATTTTTTTTTTGTTGGCCGGTGTATTCAATTAACCATTTGCTATTTGATAAATGGTCAAAAACACCACCATTGACCTTTCTGTTTCGTCTACAAAGGGCGTCTGCAGCTCTCTTTATTGCCGCATGTCTTTTTTTAATGAGTGTTACATTATTGATGATATGTCGAGTTAGTGCCTGTCGAGTGTTCACTGTAACTTTATACTCTTCATTTTTTAACCAGTCCCATAAACAGTAATCTAGTGCTGTGAGATCTGGAGATCTTGGAGGACTATTAGGCCAATCCAAAGCCCTGGAAATATCTCGTTCAAGCGAGCTGGTAGTCGCATCATCTTCTACTAGACCCAGAATACTACTTCTTCTAAACCCTTCTTCTAAACCTTGTCGAGCTCGTTTGGATGTACTAGCACTGGGAAACTTTCCGATTTCGCATAGTTTTATCAGGACATCTATAATATGGAAACCGTTGACGATATTATATAGCAGCATTAGCATTCCCATTACAAAAACCATAAAGTAACACCATATTTGCAGACTATATATTTAAATAAATCCAAGGCATTTTCTAACACTTTGATCGTACAAACGTATAATTAAATGTTGTAACATAAAATGATACTGACAAATATCCTACTTTTGAGCTTGTATGTAATAAATATTTTTTTCGAATTGTCAATTGTTTACAAGTTACAACTTGTCGAAGTTCAATTTTTAATATTTTTCTATTTAAATAACTGTTTTTCAAGTTCGATTAATCTCTCATTTAGCACACCCACTAAGTTGATGAAGCTCTATTGAACCTGTCAGAAGAAAGTTTCATTATGCACAGCTAGAGGGCACTTTACCTAGAACTGAAAATTTGTTTTGTTCATAACTTTTTTCTCTTGCTAGACATCACATAAATTTATACATTATTGAAAAGAAAATAATATCAGAAAAATGTATGTACTCTTAATTCAAGTCGATAAATGTAACGGTTTAGCAGGAGATAAAGGATATTCCTGCAAAATATATTTTGTTTAGATCACCCACAGCATTTTTTTTTTGAGAATAAAAGTTTTTAATATAAAGACTTACAATTTACAAGTTCTTGTAATCCTTTCCTAATAAATGATCGACTTTTCCTTCAAGTTGTCAATTTGTCGTGGTTTACTCGTAATAGTTTAGTTACAATTCTATATGTCGCACTTGTTCACATTTACAAACATTTAAAGAGTACGTTATTTTTTTAATCAAATAGGACCTGTTCATCAATTATTATTAACTAGAATAGAAAAAATAAATAACTTACCGGTCTATTATCACAGGGTCTGATGGAGTTTCGTTACGATTTCCGCAGCTTTTCTTGTCACAGCAGCGACTGAAAAACAACAACAAAAAAATAAACTTTATTGCAACGCAGTTACGCACACTAAAATACAGTAAGTATGATATTTAATGAGATTGAGAGTATTGCTAGAAAAAAATAAGCCAATAAAGTTCTGTTATCGGAACTAATCAGTTAAAGAACGTGCGCTTGTGCAAATGATGCACAAACATAGACGCACTGGGCAACCGGCCATAAATTTCAGTTGTTGACAAAATGCCCAGCAATACAGTGCAGCAATACGGAATTTGTTATGATTCAGGTAATTTTAATTTATTATAGGCACCTTCTATTAGTCATTCAAGTTACAATTGCGAAAGGCAGAAATAGGAGGGATATTTTGTTTGCTAATATTATTACAACATGGCTTTTTGAAGACCATTTGAAACGGAACAAAACGAAATACCGCCAGACAATATTGAATTAGTAGAACCGGTTGTTGACGAAACAGATTTAGAATTTAAAAATGAAGATGATGATGTTCAATGCCAGAGTCTCATTGTAAATATTTATGATTGTTTAAAAATGGAAGAAAATGAAAAATCAGATAATGGAATTATAAATAGAATTCACATATTAACTAAAGTTTCAGTGTCCACAATTTTTTGTGTTATTAAACAAGGTGTTATAGATCATTGTGTAAAGAGGAAGCGAAAACAAAAATTTAAAAATATATAGGATATGACGAGAGACGTAATTCGGCGGACAATTTATGATTTATATAAAGAAAATTGAGGACATAAATAATTAAAGTATATTGTTGGTCAACTGAACATATAAATAGAAATTTTCTACACATTATATACAAATTATTATTGTTTTTTACCTTTAACAGAAAAATTTTTTAGGGACGCCTATGAAACTCATTAAATTTATTGCTAGGCCTTTTCATACATGTTCAACTGAGTTCGGAAAGACTATACTTATAACCGTGCCAACAAGGTTTATATAAATTTTTTACGTTATGAATAACTTTTTTAATAATCCTGTTAGTCGTAGAAAACAATCCTAAGTTTATTTGCAAATTCACTTTGGCAAAATAGCAAAAATAGTAGATTTTTTAAATTTCATCTCCCTGTATTTTGAACAGAGGGCATGGTTTGAAAAGTTATAGATAAGTTATATAGAATCAGGCTAAATTTGGCATATTCGTATATTTAGATCGATTGTAATGTGTTTTGGGAGGTGTATATAAAATGACGTTCTTATATCCCAGATTTTAGTCGGTAAATTTCGTAATCCTTGAGAATTTTCGCGTTATTACAGCGTTCCAGCCGACGACAAAGGGAACCCGCTGTTTACAAAAGTGAATAATGCCTTCCAAAGGTGGTAATATATGAAATTTACTTTTCTTTAGTCAAGAAGTTGACGTGGTTGGTTCGATGATGTAGTCACGAGAATCCCTAAATATCTCTTCTCCCCCATGTAACGCGGAGGGTGGCCGGGGGCGGGCTGCCGTCCCCAGGGAGTCTGTCTTTTCCCTATTCCCTTGTCTTGCCATAACAAACATCGCTCTCATTCGCCAATCTCGGCACACACCATTGTTGTGCATTTTCATCTTCCCAACACGGGATAAGTCATATCGGGGCATGTTGGCACTTTCATTCTTGTAAACAATATTCGGGACGAGCCTGCCGCGTCTGACAAATTACGTTAAATTCGTCTTGCAAATTTAAATAAATGCGGCGGCTCTCGGGGCGCTAAAATGATTAGGAAGAGCTTTTTCGAGGCATCGCGGAGCTTTTTACGCAGATCCTTCCGCTGTTAACATGTGTGAACCTTTCCTTTTCAATCGCTGTTTATGCCTCCTCGTCTTTTAGGAAATAGAAACAATGAGAAATAAAGTATCTCCATTTAGTTGGAAAATTTCCAAACTAATAATTTCAAAAACGAAGATAATTCAAATGGGAATAATTATCATCCTAATGTAACAATCAATTGTTTCATTAAACGCTGATTTCTGATTTTCTGTGGTGGCACATCAGCAAGAACAAACCCATATAAGATACCTTGGTGCAAATAATTCATATTCATATACTAGGTTTGTTCAGGAAATAACTTTATTATTAATTTTATACATTATATTGGTCCTTGTCTCCTTCAAAGTACTCCCCTTCCCTTATTCACACACTTTTCTTAGTGGTGTTCCATTTCACGAAGCAGTTCTGGATAGCTTCATTTGAAATCGCTTTTAAAGTCTGTCACGAATTTACATTGATGTCATCAATAGTCTGAAAACGACGTTGTTTTCTGCACTGATCTTAATTTGGGAAATAAGAAAAAATCGCAAGGTGTCAGGTCTGGACGGTAAGGAGGGTGAGGGAAAACAATAATCTGATTAAAGTCGAAAAAATAGTGAGCATCATTTTAACAATGGATCGAGACTGACGTATTTTCTTGGGGCGTGGGGATCTTTTATCAATCCATTGTGATGATTAAACCTTTGAATTAATGCTTCATCGTCATTAGATCGTTCGAGGAGTTGCCGATAAAAGTCCACACGATCTTCCTTCTGTTGTTCGGTCAACAAAAGAGGAACAAATTTTGCTGTATGCATGCATGTTCAATTTTTCAGTCAAAATTTCATGGCATGACCCAATTGAGAAGCAACCTTTTCTGCAATTTTTCTGACAGTCAATCGTGCTAGTCATCAGTTGAAGTCGAAGCCTTCCTGGTCGAGGATCATCTTCAATTAACTGACGACCGCTTTTAAATCGTGAAAACCATTCGTAATATTACGTACGACTCATCCGTAAGTTTGTTGTATCGTTGTTCCAGAAAATCGCACATTTCAAAAAAATAAATAAGATGTCAACAATCCAAGAACTTGTGGTTATAGAGGAGGTTATGCGCAACGCAATGCTGCCAACCGCATGTCACTAAAAATCTCCATCAGAGACATCAACAAAACTGTTGTCCAATTAATAAAAAAGTATGGTAGATAAAAAATACGGGACATTAAAGTTATAGGTACCTATATACAAACCATATGAAATTTTTAGCAGCTGTTGGTATAATCAATATATTGCAAAAAACTTAAAGTACTATAAAAAAGTAACCTCCAAATCCTCAGTAAATCTTTATCGATCGAGAGTTTGCGAATTATTATAACATTTAGGGCAAATTTATTATTAATAGATCAAACTACAAGTTTATTGGGTGTTTCTTGAAGATTGTGAGCCTGATTAAGAAAAGCTTCTCACAAATGAGCACACTGTCAAGGTCATTAAGGAGTAAGGGAAGAAATAGCGGACCCAAGTTCGAACTCTGAGGTACCTCCGATTCATAGGACATATATTTGAAATCGTGAAATATAACGTATTATAGTAAATTATGAAGGTGGCAACGAAAAAACCTTAGTAATTCGTTACTGAAACTAAATATATTAAACGTTTGTAGTGAAATATTGAATGATGTATCTTGTCGAAAGCCTTAGATAAGTCATTGTAAACCACATCTACTTGATCGTGGTTATTTAGAATATCAAAAACAAGAATTTGTAAATGATAAGTGAAAATAAACATGATTTTTTTTAAAGGATCTACTTCGAAGAGGGAACATATGAAGATTTATAATGTACATCTATGAGCATGAACTAGGGTTTCTTGGAAATATAGGGGGATATCTAGAGAATCTAGGACGTATTGGGATGTACGAAGGATGTACTGCTATATACCAAGGATGTATTGGGATTTAGAAACTTTTGATGTAGGAAAAAATAATAAAGACGAGGGTTTCAAAGCATTCTATAAAAAAAACAATTGACTGTTGCATTTCGAAGATTGAACAGCTTGTATATTTGTCGCTTTTTGAAATCCTCTCATTTTCTTATTATAGTGACACATGCATGTTACGTATATATATTTTTTGACAGTTTGCATGATTGATTTGTTTATTCACGCTTCACAATGAATAAACTCAAGATTGCCATGGAACAAGTGCACATATTTATGCTTTCTCTCTATTAAAGGTGTTTCAAAAAACCTTATAGTGTTCTAGACAAAGGAATTTTTATTTGATAAATTTTTCCTACGAAGAGATTTTATAATCCTTAAGAAGTCTTTGTTTAACCTTCATGTAATGTAGTACTTTCTATGGGGTATTCTAAAAGATAAAGTATACAACGAAAACTGTAATAATTTATATAATCTAAGAGAGAAAATATTGAACGAAGTTAGTATCTTCAATGTGGTAAATATTACAAAAAAATTGCTAGAACAAGATGCATAGTAAGATATTTTTTCTCATTAGTGAATTTAAAAATTTGTTTAGGGCAAAAAACTAACCCAGGCACTGATTACATGGCAATCTTGATTATATGCAGGGTCAGTAAATAAACACAAATAATGTGAACACTGCGGAAGCAAATATACAGGGTGTCCGGTAAGTACCTCCTAATCTCTCGGGAGTGTATAGGGGAAGTCAAAATAAAACTAGTCCTTCCTATAATTTTTTTTCCTAATGTGCCCCCTAACGGAGTTATGGGGGGTCAAAGGGGTACCTAGAAATTAACGTTTAGGGTTATAACTTTGAAACCACCCTGTATATTTTAATAAAATTTTCGTACGTTGTATTACACATGGAGCTCTACGATTTGATGCTAAAATCAACTTTTTGCTATTATCAGGTGTCCAGAAACGGACTGGCCCTATCACAATTTTTCTCAAAATTTTGACAGAAGTAATTTTATCAAACTGAAAATATTATTATTATATACTCTGAAGGTTTTTCTTTAAAAATGGTACTCTTTATTTATTTCGAAAAAATGAACGGTTTGCGAGATAAATCGGTTTTGAAAAAAATTGGTAACAAATACAACAATTAAAATTTATTTTTTTACAATAAAATCATGCCCGCTAGTGCCAGCCTACAGATTCACCATAAACATTTACTGATGGTGAATTAAGGGAATGAATAATGCCGTTTCTTGTAAAATCAACATCTATGACCAAAATACATCTACAAATTATTATTGCTCTTGTCTCCATGGAGTTCAATAGCGAACTGTTTTTCATAGACTGCTTTGAAAATTACCTAAAAATTTGGTCTCTACCATTTTTTTCTTGGATAGAAAGGGGGGTTAGAGTTTTATGTGAACTTTTATCTTTTTAATTCGAGAGTACAGCTATATATTTAAAAAAAAATTACTTTCGTATTCGTGTTTGGTTTAGTTACAATGAAGGCTTATAGAGGTACTTCTTTTATCTCATAAAATATAAAGGAAAAATATTGCACTCATATATTTATTATTTCTTGACTTACCTGCACATTATTTCGTGAGTCAGCAACACTCGACACATCTCAGGATTTTTATCCTGCCCCTCGTATATGATCGCCTGAAAACGAAACAAAAATATATATATCACATATTTTGTGCATTCAAATATTCATATTTTAATCATAGACTATTTCATACAATACTGATAAAACGTAAAACTGAAATGAGTAGAATTCAAATTCCCTCTTTATTTATTAATTTGTTTATTTTACAGTAAATAAATAAAAACGATTCCCGACTAAACGCCATGTTGATTTAAATACGGCATATCAATATTCAAATAAACAGAATTTCATTCATCTCGTTTTTGCCAGTGTTTTCGCATTTCCATGAAATAATTCCGTAATGCTGTTGCACGGCACGCTAGATGCGATCCTATCACCAAATAAATTACATGAATTAATCATAACAGAAAATATAATTATGAGAGCAAACAGTGTTTTTAATTTACAGCGACATGATAAGTTTAACGTTGCATTAAAAATTCATGAAATTTAAATGCATGTCATACATACATTTACGAGTATGTATATACTTTTAATATTTTACTAAAATATATTAGAAATTGTAGGTATTACCACATTTGCATTATTTATTCTGCATTCAAAAGAAAAACGAGATATTACACATGCAATAATTTATTTAGAAATTACAATATTCAACTAGACAAAGTCCCAGTTACAGGTCAATGTAAAACAGAAACCCTTAATTAAATTTAATAAAATACAATTAACATTAAATATAAAAATATAAGTGCTAACAAACTAGACCAATCAAAATAAAGTAATAAAACAAATATGTTATATATACAAGATAAGGATCAAAGTTAGACAAACAAGTTTTTTATGCTATTCATAGAATAAAAAAATATATCAAGTCGATCTTCATACTTTTGTTAACTGGAAATCATTTGATGTAGGGGTGATGCTATTAGTAAATTGGTACGAGGTGTGGGTAATTGTAAAGCAGGGTGAAATCTAGAATTAAGTCTAGGAACATGATAAAAAATCCTTGAAACTAACGACTCTGTATTTAAAGTATTATTTATAATTTTAAAAATGAATATAAATGAAAACACAATTCGTCTACCACAGGAACTATTAAAATTTAAACAACAAAGCAATAACTCTTGAGGTGTACCTCGAGGAGGATAAAATCCATAACATAAAGTGAATAGTCTTCAAAAATCTCCGCTGTCCTTTCTCTAATTGAATTTTATAAATGGGTCTCCAAACAACTCATGCATATTCTAGTTTGCAAAGTACAAATGTTGCATACAATATACTTAGAATCTTTAAGTCTTAGAATTAAGCAAAATAAAATCTACATTTTTGAAAGCAGATTTGGTTACTAAATAACTAATATGATATGCTATTCAAACGATAATCTGAAATGTAACACCAAGGTCAGTAAATTGCGTAACTCTATTTAGAAAAGATTCACCAATTTTATAATCAAAATCTAGATTAGTTTTGCGTCGATTGTAAGACATAATTTTACAATTGCTTACATTTAGAGGTAGATTATTAGATGAACACCAACTGTGCAATCTGTCAAAATTATTATCCTGTAATTTATATTACAATCAGCAGAAGACTTAACTTCTAAGAACAACTTAAGTGCGTCCGCATAGAGTAAATAATTAACATCGAGGCATTTAGTTAAGTCATTAATAAAAATAACAAACAGAAGTGGTCCCAGGATTGACCCTTGCGGCACTCTTGAAGGTTGATAGAATTTACATGATTGAAAGCCACGATATTGGCCACAAATTGGTATCTATGAGTATTTCATTGCTAATAAATTATGATCAAGCCGATTGAAAGCTTTAGAAAAATCGGTATACAACTTCCTGCATCCAAAGCTTCAGCAATAAATTGGGTTTTCTCTACTAGATTTGGGGTAGTTGAAGGACCACTCATAAATCCATAAATGTTGGTACGGAGATCAATTTTTCAATACGAAAATAAAGTCGATTGTGTAAAATTATTTTTAGGATTTTAGAGAAGTTACTTATAAGCCGGTAGTTAGTTATGTGGTTCTTAGTACCTTTTTGATAAAAGGGTCATATTAATCACATGATCGCTATATTTTTTACTTCCTTTTAAATTTTTCATGCACTGTTTTTCGCAGATAGAAACCATGAGTGTTATAAATAAGCGATAAGATCCCATAATTGAACGATAAAGTAATCAGATTATTTATTCACCAGAAGTGATCTACAGGGCTCCTATTCAGGGCCTCTTATATTAGTAATCTACATTAACGATTTAAGATTTTGATGTAACCGTTGCAATAATTCGTTTTATACTAACAAACTAAATATATCTGAAGTTCTGAAGAAGAATATCGGTCTTCTTGATTGTTTATACATAATGTTTAAAAAATGTGATACATCATTCGAGGAGAAGCCTATCATCGAAAAATATAAATAGAATAAAACGGAAGAAAGAACGCAGAAAAATTTACCATTTCTTGTTTACTAATATAGAAAGAGTTTTCTGTTTTCGTATCTTACAGTTACTTATTGCTACGACTGGTGCCAAATCCCTGTTCACGTTTTTTCTCCGGTACATTTCGTCAGGGCCGATCCGACTTACCGCAGAAAAAGCGCCCCATGTGCCTAACTAGCCGTCCTTTATCCAAACACATGTTGCTCGCCGGCCAGTAATCTTACTTGAGCCCACCGAACAAAGCAAAGCCGGGATAGCGCGCGTTACATATTCAATTAAACAAAAATCTATCAACTGCTCTAACCTTAAGCACGTTAATCCCCTGGTGGGGAGCGGAAATCCTTCGTCGAGATAGATATGTGGACCGTCGGCCTCCGCGGCTTGGTATTCGCCAGTGGCGTAGGCGGGGCAGGGACGACCTTTGTATCTGCATGTCAATATTTTAATAAAAGTACTTAATCGTGAGTGCAAACAGATTCTATCACCCCTAAACTAAAATGGTATAATTTGATTTTTTTGTACGTTATATTCGTAGTAGACCTCATTCTTCTTCCCCATTCCAGAACTCCTTGGATTAGTTTATGCAGCCTTACTATGGTTTAAATGCCATACACTTCTGGATCAAATATTCACTGGTTCCTACCTACTGGTAGTAATTCTTCAGTTCTCTTTTTTGCTTGGTGCAGATCTGAACATTTTGATGTCTAGATAAGTACTTTTAATGCTGACTGTTGACGCATTATCTTGGTCTCTAACTGTCTTTTTTGATATTCCCAGGGCAACTTCCAGATCAATATAAGGAGCTGCGGAAGCCTTATTAACGTTGTCTTCAACGTCTGAATGTCTCAACACCTTATTAGGGTACTCCCGGACTTCAGTTCTTCTAGTAGTTCCTATATTGGTTAAGACATAACCTTCGAAGTTAATATTAATCCACCATATTATCCTTATATTATTTTTTCCTTCAAGTCACTATACTATCAACCATCATCACCAAAGCCAGTTTAGCTATGAAAAAAAAATGTGTTTATTCTACCATAATGGCGATTCCAAATATTTGATACTTGAAACAAATGAACATTGTTGTTGGTTAAACTTCTCTCATTAGTATAGTAAGTAGCCTAGTTTAATATCAACGCGTCTTTCTGTAATGGTTGCTACACTGATCAAAAGTTAACAATTACTTCGCATATATCTTCATCGCTATTACCTATATGTTTTCTTATGTTTTTCCATTATTTTAGAAATGTCCAAATCGTTAATTCAACCTGAAATATTTCTTGTATCAGAAGGTGTTATAGTGGTAACAGTATCCATTAGTTGAACTCAAACTAGCTCAAGGTATTACTAAATTCAAGGCATATTACTTAACTCCCTTCGCAACAGACGAATTGTCACTTTTATTAACAGATAAGTTAAAAAATAGGAATTCGTCAAGAGCTGATGATATTCCTATGTTTCTTATTAAAAGAGTCACTAAATTTATTATTTCTTCCATTAAATATCTTGTAAATTTATCATCTGAAACGGGTGCATTTCCAAAAATTCTAAAACTAGGAAAAATTGTTCCAGTTTTCAAAAAAAAATTATATGATGTCTTTGGATAACTAATAGATCTATATCCGTGCCTCACGGATTCTCTAAAATATTAAAATATTGCTTTCTTGAGCGACTACTTACTTTTATTAAAAAATTCCGTATTTTCACCGACAATCAGCATGGATTTTGTACAGGCAAATCTACGACTACAACTGTACACTCACTATATGAGAAAATTTTAAACTGTTTGGAATCTGTTGCGATCTCGGCAGGGCATTCGATTGTGTTAATCATGAAATTTTAATATCGACATTAAATAACGAAGGTATTCGAACACCCGCATTATATTGGATCATTACTTTTATTGAAAATAGGGAGCGATTTGTAAGCATAAATTATAATAATCAGAATGTTTGTGGTTAATATGACTTGAAATGCTCTTTGGTAACGTTGGGTGTACCACAGGGATCTGTTTTAGGCCCTGTGTTATTTTTACTATATACAAATGATATCGATACTCTCTCACCTAATACTCATTTTACCATGTATGCTGATGATACGTCTTTAGTAATATCTAATAAGTCAAATCCAACCTTAAAACTTGAATGTGATAGTTTATTGAATAACTTAAGTAACTGGTTTGCCCAAAATTCATTACAATTTAATATTGAAAAAACTTAAGCACTTCGATTTTGCACTACTCAAAATAGAAATTGTGAAACATTAAATTTGAATATTAATAGTAGTTCTCTATCTACTTACACTGCGACAGTAAAATTTTTAGGTCTAAATTTGGACACAAACCTTAACTGGAAATGTAAGTGTAAAAATATAATATCAAAATTGTCTTCAATAACTTATTTATTTCGAAATATTAGAACAGTAAGTACCGATCAACTCCTTTGTTTATACTATGCCTAAGTTGAATCCCGATTGAGGTATGGTGTTTGCTTCTGGGGTAATTCAACTCTTTCGTCCCATGTTTTTATTGTGCAGAAATGTGTTTTAAGATGTATGTTTGGTATTTCAAGTACTCTTTCTTGTAAAAATATATTTAAACATTATA